TCTCTTTCACGAGCCAGCTGTTTTGCAACGGGACATAGGGCATGCGCCGGCGCAGATGGGCAGGGTTGGCAAAAACAAGATAATTTTGTGGTTAGCTTTAAAATGTTCATATTTATTTTAGGACAGCAGTTGTTAATGACATATTCTTGATAAAATATATAATTACAAGGAGTTTTATTTTTTAATAATTCAAAAAATAAAATAATTAAAATTGGTTTTTAGTTTTTACACATATTATATGTGTTACTTATTATAATTTTTGTATCTAGATTTTTTTTAATCTTTGTTTTTATATATATAGCAAGTCCTATATCTATCCTTGGAGATAAAATATATCAATAACAGATTAAAAATAAATACAAAATGGCAGCCCTTACACAGTCAGCTGCTCACACCGTTCGATTTTCAAAGGAACAGCTGTCTTTAGAATTTTTTTGAAACGACCTTCTCGAGGCTAAGGCCCGCATACTAAAGGACAGATGAAAAAAACTTGCAAGGAGGTATTATGCAATATATAAAAACTACAATAAACTATCATCTGTTACGCTGTGAAATACAGCCTTTGACTATGACATTCTCACAAGAAAAAAATATTAGCATCGTCTTCAAAAGTTGCACGACCCATAAGTCTTTATACTTCTTTAAACTTTTAAATTAAAAAAAATAACTAAAATGTATGACGAAATAGTTCAATAATATTCAATTTAAAATAAGAAAGAAATAACTATTAATGATCTATGAATGGACAATAGAAAAAATCGTGAGACGGTGACCATCAAAGGGCTCGCCTCATTTTGTTAAAACCATAACAAATGGTTAGACGCACGTTTTAGAACAAAGCGTATATAATACCGTCACGATTCACGTTTCTAACTCAATCAATCTATACATAATATAATATTAACTAAATAAATTGTAACTAAGCCGAATCTGTACATTAAATATTTTTTGGAAAACCTTATTGAAATACACATTATTATCGATACAAAGGTATATCGATCTATAGTTTTAGAATTTTTGTCTGTCTGTCTGTTACCGCATCGCCGAAAAACCACTTTGATGAAATTTGGTATGGTGATAGCTGGTTATCCGGGTCAACATATAGGATAGGTTAGCCGGAACAAACGGAGAAACAAACAAACATTTTAAAAATTGTTTTTTTTTTCTTATTTCTTATTAGTAGGTACCGTATAAACTTTCATATGCATTTGATAAAAATCTCTTATTTTGACATTACAAACAGACACTTCAATTTTATTTATAATAGATAAAGAAATCAGACATATGTCCACCGAGGCATGTACAACTATTGAAGAGATCGCCGGTTCGAATATGACATAAAACCTTATTTATGTAAAACCTAGTCATACAATAGAATTGTAATAAGATAGACCCTCGTTTAATATTTTATTAAATACAAATATATTGGCCTTTGAGATGTCTAAAACCTCAGTCTCTCCCGTGACCATGTGCGCTGTGAAGCATTCGAAACGTCGTCGTCGGAACCAAAAATCAAAATCCGCGACAAAAACCGAAAAGATAGTTTTATTTAAAATACATATATAAAAATTAAAAGTACAGGTAATTTGTAGATAAGGTTTAGGATATATTTGGCTTCACACCCCCCACTTCCTGCCGGGGACCCCCAAAAACTTGTCGAAATACGGAAACTATATGCATCTGGTGAAACATCCGGTTGCCATATGGCATATTATTTCGCATTGTTCTTTATTTTTAACCTATAGGTAACAAAAAGGTCCATTGTTTTTGCTTAGACAAAAACAATTGTCTAATTTTTTTTCATAGCGAACGAATGTAAAGATATTGTTATTTAAACAGTTTACGTATATTAAAACCTTCTTTTAATCTTGTAATTATGTTCCAAACAATAGAGGTACTATCTAAAAAAATATATAAATATATATATATATATATATATATATATATATATATATATATATATATATATATTGTTATCTATGTATTACAAAAAAAATTAAATATGGATAATAAATATTAATTATATAAATATGTTGGTACCTTTACACACAGCACCATCTAGTTACATGGTAAGCTATGAGGCTTGTGTTATGGATACCAGATAGTTGATACACTACACATATATAACTTTAAAAACATACATATTATAAATATAAACACCCATGACTGGAGTACAAACATTCGTGCTCATCGCACAAATGAATGCCCCCAGCGGGACTCGAACCCGCGACCGCTGGCACAGCAAGTAGGGTCATTATAAACTGACAATGAACCAAACGTGTCATCTTACAATTATGTTCCAACCAAAAGAGGTACTATATAAAAAATCATGTTTAATCTATTTTTTTCTATTACATATATATTATACTGCGAACCTTTTTAGTTTTGCAGTTGGGTAAGGAATTAAAAGTTAATTCTCTTGTACAAAAAGAACCTGTATCATTTTAAAAAGTTAAAGATAATGAAATAGATTTAAGAGCAAAACCACTGTGCCGCCATGTCAATAACTCCTATGATCTAACAAACGTAAAGGCACTGAACACACAAACCGAACCCCTACCAACGATGCGTTACAAAACCTAAGGCATTTGAGAACCATCCACTGCAATGTTGAAACCAACAACACTCCTTATAATTATACATCTATTCAGATATATACAATAACACATTAAATATTTTGTATGTTTGTTTAACAAGCATTACTCAGTACTGGAGATTTAAAAAAAAACTTTCTAACAATCCTATAGAAGCTTAAATTACGAATCTCAAAATGCGAAACAATTTTCATTTCAATCTTTCTAACGAGATATTATATAGAGGAGTAGATAACAAAAATTGCAAGATAACAAAATTGTCATTTTTTTTTCTAAAAATGACCTAAAACCGTAAAAAGCACGTCTTGATATCAGAAATATGTATCTTTAAGTATAACAAAGCAAACTGAGTTATTACCATATAATATAATGGATCTCAAACGAGATTCGAACTTAATACTTTCTTAGATTTACGCGAATGTTTGACATTATTAAATAAAACTATCTTTTCGGATTACTTCGCGGATTTATTTTGATTTTTGTTTCCCGACGTTTCGAATGCTTTACAGCATCCATGGTCACGGGAGAGACTGAGGTGTTACATGTCTTAAAGATTTAATTGTGGGTAGGCTGTCTGTAACAACTATATCTTTAAGACATGTAACACCTCAGTCTCTCCCGTGACCATGGATGCTGTAAAGCATTCGAAACGTCGGGAACCAAAAATCAAAATAAATCCGCGAAATAATCCGAAAAGATAGTTTTATTTAATAAGAGATTCGAACTTGTTACAACTATAGAACATAAACACACCTTTCCACATTACAACCATGCACCAAATGCCGAATTAGTTGAAATATGCAAGGTGAACAGCAGATGTTTTAAATGACACGCGAACAGACAGGTGGCACGCGCGTATTTAATAATATATGGAATAATTTTTTTTTTTTATTATAGCCTTTTATTTTCAAAGATCTGGTCATCGGACAGACGATAATATTGACGACACGTTTGACTCAGTTTGTCACGGTCGCGGGTTCGAGTCCCGCTGGGGGCATTCATTTGTGTGATGAGCACGAAATGGGTGTTTATATTTATAATATGTATGTATTTAAAGTTATATATGTGTAGTGTATCAACCGTCGGGTATACATAACACTAGCCTTATAGCTTACCATGGAATTAGATGGTGCTGTCCCAACATATTTTTTCTATATTTTTTTTTAAACGTTTGGGGGAGAGGGAAGCGTGTGGTTATCCTAACGCTTGTAATCCTGTGAGAGACATGTCCTGGGATTTATCCTCATATTTGTGAGAAAATTAAAAACGTACGTACGTAACCTCAAAATTCTCTGGTCTAAAAGTCAAAATTACACGGATAATTTGAATAATAAAAAAAAATCCAATCTATACAAACCAATAATAAAAAAAAAAACAACTCAAAAATGAATCAAATGCCGACGGTTTTGAAAAAAAAAAACAAAATCTAACAGACCTTAAGCCAGTCTGCCGAAACAATAAATAAAACTTACCACACTCTTTCTTCCTCACTAAATAAAGATCCATCCTCACTATACAGCATTAGTATACAATTTTAACATGAAAATTCTTTTTTTTTAAAAAGAAAAAACAAACATTAACTCTTTTTTATTAAACTCCACTAACGGTTTAACGTGACGTTCGAAATTCGTATTCTTAAGCCATTTAAAATTGACATTGTAGGGTAAAGAAAAAAATATATTATTATAATAACGTCAATATTTCCATTGCTACCCGCTTTTGTTAAAAAATATGTAATGTTCCAATAATATTAAATACTAGCGACTCACCCTCGCTCCGCTTGGGTTCGTCCCTATCTTTTAGTTTAGTTTAGATTCCTCAGATATGAGATATTTGTCTGTAGTAAGAAATGTCCTAAATGTTGACCCGGATAACCAGCTATCATCATGGCAAATTTTATTAAAATCTGTCCAGTGGTTTTCTCTTTTCGTTACCTTCTAAAAACTATAGAGTCGCCCTCTGTATCGATAATAAAAGTCTATTTCAATAAGATCTTCCAAAAAAAAAATTAATTTACAGATTCGACTCATAATTTTATTATATGTACATAGATTAAAATATTTGATCTTACGCGTCTCTTTCACTTGTTGCTATGACATAATCCACTATTTCTTTACCATTTTACAATAAAAAAAAAATAGTTTAATAATTATTTAAAAATAAATGTATAGTAAATATGATAAGTATTAAAAAGTTAAAAAAAAACTTTACAAATACTGGCCGTATGAGATAAGATAGAAAAAAAAAGACCGTTACAAACGTCCTGTAACTGATAAAATTCATTTTTTATCTATAACAATGAATAAACACGCAAACGTCAAAACGCACAACAATTGCAAAACACATTGCACATTTGCCTTTCACTAGCACACAAATATTAAAAAAAAAAAGCTCTTCAAAGCTTACCTAATCCAATTTTCTTCTTGATTTTCTTGAGAACTTTCATTTTAGATCCTTTCTTATCCTTAACTGGTGTTGTTTCTGGTTCCAATGCCATCGGTGGCAGGACCAGGGTTTGGGGCGGCATCGGAGCACCATGTCCCGAAGACCTAGGGCAGGCGGGGCAGTGACAGGAGCCCCTAGCCTGCCTTAGGCTCATACAACTACTTACACCCATCATTTATACGGTTTAATGGTTTCCAAATTAAAAAAAAAAACTAAAACTCTTAAAACATTTCACAGTCACGAATTCGATTTAAGCACGTTATCACTTCACGCGTCAATTATTATATATATTTATATATAAAAGTATTTGAACGCGACGCGAAGACGTCCGCACGCCACGAAGCCTTCAGGCGGAGTGAACATTTCTAGTACAACGCAACGCAGTATACCATAAATGTTATTAACATCTGCGAAATAACACCCTTCTAAAGCAAAACCAACCTTACTTCTTGATTTTAAGAGAGAAATTTAAATAAAAGTTCATATAAAATAGGACCTTATGGGGTTTTAAGGCAGATGCGCGCGCACAACAGCCCCTAAAATCACCTGTCTCTTTTCTTCCTATCAAATATAAAAGAGAGGGTAGCTCGGAGGGTAAGATTAGGGTCCTTTTGTTGAATTGTTAAACCGGTGTTGATTTTTTTTGTTTGCGAGAATTTGAAGTGCACGCGCGAATATAATGACGAGTTTTTGGCAAAGATGTAAAGTAAGATGGAGGCGATGTTTTTTTTTTTAACAGATGACGTGAATTGGTAGCACTTTATGGGGCTTAATTAATAATTACAAGCTTCTACAAAAACTAAAAAGGTTTTAATTTAAATATATTCTATTTAAAAAAAATATACATAGATACTTATTTTTTTATATTGCAATAATATTGGTAATCTCTAAAGCTACTGAACTCATTTTGATACTTTTTAACCGACTTCCAAAAAGGAGGACACTTCGAAAATATCTTATTAGATATGTACTCTAAATGAAAACCCCCGTTCAGTTATTTTTTACATCTTAGTGCTTGGAAGACGTTATATATTTTTTTTTAATTTTTTATGTATGGAACAGCTACTGAAAACTTGAATGACCCATACACGATTGTACGATATACAACTTTGTGTTAATTTATTATCGATTTATATTGATTAATTTAAAGCTCACATCACTACATAGTATAAAACAAAGTCGCTTCCCGCTGTCTGTCTGTCCCTATGTACGCTTAGATCTTTAAAACTACGCAACGGATTTTGATGCGACTTTCTTTAATAGATAGAGTGATTCAAGAGGAAGGTTTATATGTATAATACCTGCATATTATAGTACAGAAATATAATTACTAGTTTATAATAAAACATACTTAGTTTACCCGCGGCTTTGACAGCTTCCCTCTTTAAAGGGTGTTAGCGTGAAGTTAAATAGCCATTAATAAATACGCTAAAAAAAAATATAAAGAATACGACGTGTCTATTTTAAATGCAACTATCTTTTCGGATTTTATCGCGGATTTAATTTGATTTTAGGTTCCCGACGTTTCGAATGCTTTACAGCAATCATGGTCACGGGAGAGACTAAGGTTTTAGACGTCTCAAAGGCGTTATATATACATACATACTTGTTACAAACAGTGCAATTAATCTAAAAACAGCCTAACCTCAATATCCAAATTAAAACCACGGTAATATATTATGCATTACCTACATTACCGTGTTAAAGGTTTCCCTGCAGCTCCAAATTGTTCTATACATATTGTTTGGTGATTTAAACGCGGGCGGAGCCGCGGACAATGCTAGTCTGTAATAAATTGTATATATAAATTATATATATATACTATATGATATAATATATATATATATATATATATATATATATATATATATATATATACTGAAAATGTCATATTACTTAAACAATGCCTTTGTTTCGAGCTCTGAACAACAAAAGCTCAGGCTAATTTTAGCGAACTTCTTATAAATTGGGTTATCTTTTACTTTGAGCAGTTAATATTTTATTATTCAAATTTTACATATCGACTGACCTACAATTTCTGTAACAATTTTCAATGCGAACGCTTGTTTGATGGTTCTTCATACTAAAACGGCTGGACCGATTTGGATTAAATTTAGTATACAGATAGACTATGCACTGGAATAACATATAGGTCACTGTTATATACATAGGGACCTAAATATAATTTTCTTTACAATTTTACAATATTGCAAAGTTGCGGAAATTATAATGTATACTAATATGGATTACAAAGAGGAAAGATTTGTTTGTTTGTTTGTACCGAATAAACTCCAAAACTACTGAACCGACTGAAATGAAATTCGGTAAGAAGATAGTTTGAGACAATTCATACCAAATTCCATCTAAATCGGTTCAGTGGATTTTTAGTTTATCCATTACAAACAAACATACAAAAAAAACATTATTTTTTCTCTTTGTGAGTTCTTAACTTTGTGAGTTTGTGACGTTGTAGGGGGTAATCTCTGGATCTACTGAACCGATTTAGATGAAATTTGGTAAGAGGATAGTTTGAGACCCTGGGAAGGACATAGGATACTTTTTATCCCGAAAATCATCCCTTAAGGGAGTGAAAATGGGGATGAAAGTTTTTATGGGGAATAAATCTAGGGACGAACCCGAACAAAGCGAGGGTGAGTCGCTAGTATTAGATATACATACACAGATGATATTATCACTAATCCACAGTTGAAGATTAACAAATTAGTTTAGGAGAAATTGTCATATCTATTTTAAACGGGGGAGTTAAAAGTTAATTAAGTAATTTAAACAATTAGCTGATTGCATCGCCCTTAACGACTTCCTTTCGTCGTGTGGCAATAGGGTCAAGTGCTTATGATTCAGATTGTGTTGGGATGGGTGGCCGCATGTGGAAAAACAAATTATGTACTATTATACGTTTGTTTTATTCACACATACATACATAAAAGCGAAATACCACTACATAAAGTATGTATTCAGCCCTTTTTTAACGTCCCACTGCTGGGCGTGGGCCTCCCTTCAGTACGAGGGCGATCGGGCCATAGTCCACCAAGATGGCCAAGTGCGATGCCAATTACTTGAAATTTGATATTAATGCTCTTCAATACAATTAAAGTAGTATGAAAGTTTGTATGAAACCTACATTTTTAGAGTTTATTTTTGTAGTTTAAGCGCGAGCGAAGCCGCGGGTTCTGCTAGTATAATATAGATTAAAATTACGAAATGTATATTAACGTCATAAATACATTATACATATACACCTGTTATTGTGTAACGCAATAAAATAAATTGATAAATATTTTTATTCGAAGTTATATTTGACTATTCATTGCCCGCGGTTTCGCTCGCGTGTTAAACGGTTGCGGAGTTCGAGACTATCCTATGTCCAATCCCAGGATTCAATCTGTGTTCTTGTCAAATTTTATCGAAATCTGTTCAGCGGTTTGAGCGTGAAAAGGTCATAAACAGAGTTACTTTCACACTTGTAATATTAGTATGGATTGAATGAACATACCAGCGATTGCACGCGGTTGTGCTTGCCTATAGCCTTTCTCAATAAATAGGCAATTAAATGCATAATTTTTTAATTGTTCATTCTAGAAATTAGCGTATTAAAAAATATTAATTTACGTATAATCTTCATATTATAACATTAGTATTATAATACAATATCATACTAATTATTATTAGGTTGGTACTTCTAATTTATATGAGATCACTCTTGAGAGATTTTTGAGCTTGACAAAAATCTACCTGTCGCGAAAAAAAAAGACAAAAACAGTAAAAAATAAAAAAAAATGTAATAAATACGTTGGGACATTAACACACAGCACCATCTAGTTCCATTGTAAGCTACGAGGCCTGTGTTATGGATACCAGATATTTAATAAGCTACACATATATAACTTTAAATACATGCGTATTATAAATATAAACACCCGTGACTGGAGTACGAACATTCGTGCTCATCTCACAAATGAATATCCCCAGCGGGACTCGAACCCGCGACCGCTGGCACAGCAAGTATCACTACAAACTGAGCCAAACGTGTAATAAAAATGAGAAAATGAGAAAAAATATCTAACCAGATATCACCTAACATACATACATTTATATACCTACACACAAATCAACTATCGAATTAAGTACCTCACAATTTTGAAATCGGTCAAAGCCTGATTAAAAAATTAAGCCAAATCTTGCCATTTGCAATATCTAATATAATATGACAGATGCACATACACCTTGCGGTCCGACATCTGCGCGGGGTGGCGACCGCGTATATGCCTCTAACTTAGCGTTGAACGAACCCTTTCACTATAGATCCGTTTTGAATTCTTGAACAAAAAAAAAGAAAAAGAAAAGCTAAATGTCAAAACCATATGGTGCAGTGGTGGATAGTTAGGAAGGGATAGTGGGTTCAAATCTAACGATATATGCCCACATTTATACCTCTTTTACAACTAACAAAGAGGTAATGTTTGTAAGTTTGTATGTACGGGGTAATCTCTGAAACTACTGATCCGATCCTGAAAATTCTTTCACTAATAGAAAGCTACATTATCTATATAGATCAGGCGCAGGAACATCAGCTTTACATGCTCAATATCGGTACGGCGGTGAAACACCGCCAACTTCCCAACGCTCGGCGTTTACTGGGACTTTCTTAACAGAAAGACTCAATAATTAAACTTGACCCAACTCGGGAACTGAACTCAGGACTACATGCTAGCCACTGTACCATCGAGGCAGTTCAATAAAATATAAACCATACCAGCACATGTACATATTATCTAGTTTATTTATGTATAATCACTCCACTTCTAAGGATCATAGCTTGATTTAAAATAGCCTCAATATAATATAGGCCATATAATATTAAATATCGATAATGTATGTATGTTCCCTCCCTATAGACTCCAAAAAGGCTGGAGCGATTTCGATTAAATTTTCAGGCAATCTTTAGATTAGCCCAGTGAGTGATCCTGTATAGTTTGGTAGCGATCGGAAGTTTGAACTCGGGTGAAGCCGGTACTGCTAGCAACTAGTCTATACAGATAAAAAAAAATTAAGTGTCTTCTGTTGTGTAATGTCAAAATAACAGCGTTTTACTAAATGCATATGAAATGATATACGGTACTTATAAGAAAAAAATCATTTTTTTTTAATTTTTGT